TGCCGGAGGCGGCACAGAGCCCCCCCCCTTGCCCCCTCCCCCCGCAGGTGCTCAAGGGCTGGAAGCAGCAGAACCTCAAGAAGGCGTGCGGCCTCTTCTGAGCCGGCAGCCGGCGCAGACACGCACCGCGCGAGGCTCGATTTCGAGGGGGTGTTCCTAGCTACCATCGTTCGCCCTCCTTCCATGTCATGCGCGCGCGATTTGGTCCCGCCCCGTCGTCGCGGATTGTGTATAGCGGCCCAGGGCCGTCGATGCGTCAAACGCACGGTCTGCGGTCTATCACGCTGCACGCCGAGGCCCATTGACTGAGAGGTCTTTGGCGAGCTTTGAGCTTAAATGAGCGTGTGACGCACGCGTACGGGGGGACTTAAAGCCGTCTCGTGCTCTCGTCCTTTTCGCTTTCTCAGCGCGGTTTTCTCCACCGACGTGTACATCGAGAGATATGAGATATCCCCTAGGCCTAAATTCAACTCCAACTGGAGGCCACGTAGGGCTACCGTAGGGACGTACGGCTTTACGCCCCGTGTGTATCCGACTGCGGCTCCGGCGCGAGCGCTCACCGGGACACCGCTCACGGCTTCAGCCTCGGGTGTCACTGGGTCAGGACGTGTGACGTACAAAAAAAACGCTCAAGTTTCATGACTCTCAACGCCGCACATAAGATCTTCCCCCCCCAAAACACAAAGAGCACAAGCATGATCAGAGCGCGAGAGAGGGTGGAGTGGCGTAGGAGGATCCTCTTCTGATACAATTTGGGTTGCCAGCCTGGCCGGGGACGCGGCCCTCTTTGGCGGCGTTTGCGTGCCGCCGCTCCCGCTGCTTCTGGCTCTTGCGGCTGACGGGCTTCTCCCTGCCAACCTCGTCCTCGCCTCCTCGAGCTCCAGCGGCGTCTGCAGGCTGCTGGGCGGTTAGGAGGTGGAGGAGCGCCCACGCTCCCGCCTCATGCTGCGCCCGCTTGGGGCGGCCAGCCTGGCCGGGGACGCGGCCTGCCGCCACGGCCGCGGCGTGCCGCTGCTCCCTGCGCCGCTCGACATCGACCTTTGCTTTGGCTTTCTTCCGCCGGGCCTCCTCCTCTGCGCCCTCCTCGTCTGTGCCCTCCTGCTCCTCCCCGTCAAAAGTCTCGGAGGCTCCCGCGCCTCCCTCCGGCTGTGCCAGACGCTCGCCGCTCTTGATGAAGTTTGGGTTGCCAACCTGGCCGGGCACGCGGCCCTCTTTGACGGCTTTTGCGTGCCGCCGCTCCCGCCGCTTCTGGACCTTGCGGCTGAGGCGCTTCTTTTCGTCCTCGGGTCTCATCCTGGGCTCAATCCTGGTCGGCCTTAACCTCCTCCTGATGTTGTTCGGGCGGGAGCTCGGCGACTATCAATTGCCAAAATCCTAACGCCTTCCGAACTTGAAAAAAGGAAGGAAAGGCCCCTTTTT